CAAAAACAGTCCGTGGTCAGCACAAAGTTGGGTTAGGCGTTCTCCGTTGTCAGTCCTGTTAGCTGGGATTGCATGTGAACCACCAAGTAGCCTCTTTGACTCGTATAGGGATCACACATAGGTGGTGGTGGCGTAGTGGCTTAGTCGCTGTCACCGACGTGCTTTGGATCTTGTGGTCCGAGCCCCGCCACCACCACCGAACTTTGGTGGTAGGTAGCTCTGCTGTCGTTTGGTTCAGTACCACACCTAACTCATCGGGGCCTTATGTGGTTTACCACTCGAAATCCCGGGGCTCATGTTGCCGGTTTCCACCACCGAACAACAGGTCCCCGTGACTATACGATTCGCCCAGTGTACTGTTCATCGCACTTAGGTGTGTAATAAAAAAAACTTGAGCACTGAAGTCTCTAGCGACCGAGCACTTTGGAGCCGTTGAGATGTCCTTGTAGAGTTCATCTTGCACTTCAGGTGAACTGCAATCTGCTGGTGCATACGCGGATACGACGAATAAACATCGACGTTTCGTTCTGTAGCTGTTAACTCGTATTGAACCATCCAGACGTACGGCGCAAAGTCGGTTGTTAGCCCGGATCCAATCGAGAAGTAAACGCTGGGCCTTGACACTGAGCGCAATCCCAACAGCAGCAACATCGAGAGCTTCGAATGTCGAATCGCCTGACACACGGAGAGTGAAGCGTAAGGATGAGGCTGGATCGGGAGAACGCAAGGAGACGTTTGAAGTAGGGTCTTGTATGCATGTTTCGGAGACACAGCTCACATCTAAATTGGAGGTTTCAAGGGTTCTAGCTAAGGCGGTCTGTTGACCAATCTGATAGAGAGTGCGGACATTAAATGCGGCTAAGTGGAAAGGAGATTTTGATTTCAAAAGTCTGATAGCCTTTGAGTGGTTGGCCTCATTAAATGAAACTGAGTAATATCCCACGGGTGGCGTATACGAGATACATCTGTTAAGGTTTGGGAACGAAAAGAGGAAGTGGAGGTTGAGAAGGATTGTTTTCAAAATGGGTACCCAAGACTTTAGGGCACGGCATACTTCGAGGTTGCCCACACCGAAGGGGTTTTTCTTTGGGAACCCTAACCGGAGCCTTTGATTCAAAAGT